GACCACTTTAGATGTTCCAAGGAAAGGAGACCTTGTAAGCACAGAACCGTTACCAGGATGACCCTGGAAACTAGGTGGAGAGGGTCGGGCGCCTGGGCCAAAGAATGTTTGGGAGAACTTCCCCAGAGTCCTGATGACTCGCGCTCACAGAAGGCCCCGGCGTCCAGTCCGCGCCAGACACACCCAGGCGCAGCCCGGAGTGGCGGGCCGCGCCCTCACTGAACTCGGAAATCGCGAGGCTCCGCGCGCTCGGAGGCCCAGAGAATCTGCCCGTCGACCGCTGACGTCACCCCAGCAGCCACTCAGCAGTCCCCTGGCTCCTACGCGCGCGAGCGGGAACCTCACAGTCCCCATTTCAGATCTCCCTTGGGGACCCCTTCATGGTCCCACACGGTCTCTTAGCAACAGTTCTCTAGTTTCTTCATTATTCCAGACCCCCGTGTCCCCCCAAAGCTTCAGACCCTTTCAGAGGTCGCTGAACACCATTCCTCAAGGAACATGACCCAGCCTCGGTTCGCTCCACCCATCGCCCGCGCCCCTCACCTGTAGAACGCTGTGTTGACCCGCTTTTCTCCAGGGAAGCCCAACATCCCGCAGACCACGTGGCTGTTGTGGGCACTCCATCCTTTGTCACACACTTGAGACCAGCCATCTGGAAGCCTGACTTCAACCAGGCCTTCAGTCACAGGCAGGGGTCGTCTGCCCCACCCAACAGCTGGTCGAAGTCGCACTTCCTCTACTTGTAGGTGATGTTCTACCTGGCAATGGAACCACAAAAAGGGGGAGGAATCCCAGTATCATCTCTCATATATCCTGCCAACTTTAAGGAACCCCAATTCAGTGTGCTTGCTGTAAACTCAGTGGTGGGATGGGACTGCAGCAGGTTAAGAAGGATGTCATGCCTGCTGTCAGTCTGAGGTTTATGGACTCTTCTACAACCACAAGAGTGCAGGGACATGGCACTGAGAAATGGCCAAAGCTGCCAGGAGACACTGAGGAAGGAAGACTTAGGTCTGCCTTTATGGAGCAGGAGTGGGCACTCCATAAAGGAAATGGCTTTAAAGGAGTAGAAAATAAGAAGGGAGATGTTCCAGGAGAGCAGAAACATCTAATGAGAGGGAGAGCACAGGATGTCTCCTTGGGGTGTCCTGGGATGAGTTGGAGAAGCTCATGCCAAGTTTAGTACCTTAAATGCTAATGCTAAAAAACGACAACACTGGATTATACAGCTCCTAGAAGCTCTATCATTTGTTCACTACCTCCAAGCCTCCCACCAATTCAAATCATCTCATGGGGGTGGCCTATGGGATCCTCTACCTTTAATCTTTAATACCTTCTTTAACTACATAAGACCATCCTACAGTCCCTGCTGTCTGGCCATTCTGATAGGTGCATATGTGTGTGTGAGTGGTATGTACTGCAGACCTCAATGACATTGGAATCTGAGAATCCAGGTAGGCGCTGGTCCTTGCAGATGACTCCGGCATCCTCATCATGGGTACAATCACTGTTTCCCCAACCCCGGGAGGCACATTCAGTCACACTCTGCTCAGTTCCACTGCAGCTCAGGTTGTCCAGCCAGATGCGGCCTATGGAAGCGGTGGGGGGTGAGGGTAGAGAGAAGTTTGGGAAAGAAGGATGGAGTAAGGGGGATACTGGGAAGAGTGAACATCAGGGCCTTACACCTGGCCATCTGGCCATGAGAAGGAACAAGGGACCATGGTGGGGAAAAGTAAAGGACATAAGATTGATGGAAGATTGGTAGTGATCTGAGAATACTCAATAATTTAACAAGGTGAATAAAAAACTAAGAACCAACACTGAAGTTCTGATCAGTACTTACCCATTCCATGATAGTTATAATTAATCAAGTATATACTGTGTGCCAGGTGCTCTACCATGTGTGTATATATAATTAACCATTCTTAGAACAGAGCTGCCAGAAGACCATTTTATATGAATAGACTGAGTTCAGAGAAATTAAGTGACTTGCTTAAACCACATTGCCAATGAATGGGGCTTAGGAGTTTGGCCTGTCCATGACACCTGGAAATCTAAGATCCTTTCTCCTCATCCTGGTATTCTCCTATGTGCTTGTCCTATCTATGTTGCCACATAGTCTCTTGTTCTTTTCTCTGTCTGGACCATATTGAATTCTTATAGATGTCCTCTCAGAATTGGGCAGAACCTGAAAGTTGTCTATTCCTGCCAAGATGCAGGGACCCCCCTCATTTACACCCTGATAGAACTTACCCAGTTTCTGCTGGGATACTTTTCTCCTTCCCAACAGACTGTGTGTGTAACCATCAAAAAAGTCCTTGTGATTCTTTTTTGTTCTTTTTCTTTTTTTTTTCCTTGTGACTCTTTATAACTTTCCTGAACCATGTCTGATTCAGTCTTTTCAGTCCCTCAGTCACATGACTGTCCTCTCCATATTTGTAGACAACTATCATGTAATTGCTATTCAAGACCTTTTCATTTTATACCAAACCACCTCTGGTTTCTTAAGCTACTCCCCCTGAAACTAGGCTTCTGAATCTTTCACATCTAGGCAGCTCGTCCCTTAAAATATTTCCATTTTCTACTGTTCCTCTTAAAATGTGATGTCTGCATGGGACACCTTATTCCAAAACTGGTCTAGCTAGTGGGAACTGGTGGATCAGTTGCAGGCTACACTCGCTTCTGTCCATCATTTCCACTAGGGGTTCATATGGTGAAGAACCTCCGGACCTCAATGAGAATTTCTCTTAAGCCTACCCCCTCAACCTCTATATGCTAGTTCTAGTTTGATTCTGTTAGCTGCAGTATCTGTGCTTCTTTCTGACATTGGAACATCCATACATCATTTACTAGCTCTCATCTTCCCTTGAAACCAACTTTACTTTAATCATTACAAGACTCACCTGTATCTGGGCTGTCCTTGTGCATGTTTTTTTTTTTACAATTATCTTTTTGCAGCAGAAAGAAACTTAGAAATAATCTAGTCATTGTGCACATGGTGCATGTGAGGCTCATAGAAAGCAGCGACTAGCCTGAGGTCACAGATCTGGAAGTAACTATGTTGGCTAGTTTGTCACCTATGGGTTTACTTGAAGCTGGCTGTTCTTGATGCTGTATGCCCTAGTGGCTGTGCCATTCTGGTGTTCTCTCTCCCTGCACTTAGTCCACACTCAGGTAATACCAAGACTATGTTCGGAGTATTACTGACCTACCTGTTCCAGGGCCATATTTGGCACTGTGGGTCCAGCCTGTGGCCTCTGTGAAGCCCAGCTCACGGCAGAGGACATGGGCAGCCTGCAGTGTGAAGTCATCATCACAGATGGTGCCCCATTCACCAGCTCGCTGTATCTCCACTCGGCCCTCATAGGGTTTCCTGGGGAAGCCAGCCAGCCGGAACCGCAGTCCCTGGCTTCCCGCCTTCTTCTCAGGGCCCGTGGAAGGGGACGGAGACCCCAAGCACAAGCTGCACATGAGGTACAGCAGCAGGCCCCATGGGCTCCACAGCCAGATGCTGACAGGTCGCATGGCAGGAAACGCCTGGACACCCCAGAGAGAGTGTGTAAAGCCCAGAGTCAGAGAAAGGAGGGAGGAGTTGTGGGGAAGGAGATTCCCTAAATGACTGAGAGATAGAAACACACTCTAAATGAAGGCAGAGGGATACAGATTGGGGTGTGGGAAGGGGTTCTCTTTCCCTTTTGGAAGTAATAAAACTCATAATAAGTAGTTACAACCCACATGTCCTTCCCTAGTTTGCCATCATCTTCATTTATCCCCATTCACCAGTCTTAGAGACCCAGAGATCAGAAGACAGAGGTTAGAGACCAAGAGTCAGAGAATGGTCAAGATAAAGAGAGACTGAGGAAAGACACACAGAGGAAGACCCAGACAGGATGTGAGAGGAAGGGAGACTGTGGGAATGAAGGGGGCAACACAGAAAGAGACAGTGGAGAGAGACACGCTGAAGATGGATGGAAAGTGACAGGGAAAAGAATCATGCACACAGTAATGAGGAGTGAGGGAGAGAGACAGAAGACATGTGAGGAGAGGAATTGACAAGATCCAAGGAGCAGGCAGAGTAGGGATGACCCCGATAAGCCAGACAAATGACAGATAGCTATACAGATTGTGGAGAGAGACTGGCAAAGGGAGACTGGGAGACTCTCAGAACCCTTGAGTGGGAGTCCTATCTGGGCAGATTCCTATCTGCAAATTTTTGTCTCTTTCCCAGGCAGGGAGGGCAGCCGCAAAGGGCTTGTGGAGAAACGGCTGCATTCCCTTCTCAGCACACAGACTTTCAGATGCCCTGCAGGGTCAAGGAGCCCAGTAACGCTAGGCCTCATGCTGGGCTGGGGATGGGGTGGGGTAGTCCAAGCCTTCTGCTCACACCAGTGTGGCTGTCACCGGGCAACGGGAGGCCAGGGTGCGCTCTCTGCTCTTTGCCCAAGGCCTTCTCTGTCCAGGGCTGAGAACAACATCTCTACAGAGAGGGGGCTTCCTGAACATGCTTTCCCCAAACCAGACAAACAGCTCAGCAAGACAGCTTTGTTTTGGGAACATTTGGCTTTGGGGCTCAGGGGTAGGGCCTCACAGAGGAGCCCCCTGCCTCCCAGCTGCCCTTCATGAAACACCCTGCAGCCCCCACTTTCGATATTTGTTCTTTTCCCCACTCTTCTTGTGTCTCATTCCCCTTTGACAATAATAAAACTCTCAGTTGGTTGGTTTCCCCGACTCCATCCCACACCACCCCTTTTCCTTGGTCCCTCCACATCCTCTACATCCCAAATTCCCCTTTCTCAGGCAGCTTGCCTCCCCTACCTTTGGCTGGACAGGGCCCTAGGGACTGGGAGAAGAGTCCTGGTCCTGGAGATTAGTGCTAGGACTTCCCAAAAAAAAAAAAAAAAGTGCTCGGCCAGGGGAGACTGGACCCCCCCTCTCTCCCCCCTCGCTGCTAGTCCCTCCCACGTCCCCTTGATCCCTCCCACATTCCTCTTTCTCCCTCCATTCCTCTCAAGCCAATTCCCTCCTCTACGTCCTCCCCTCCCTGGTGGAGCCGGCCACTGCCGCGCCACCTCCCCCCTTCCCCTTATCCTCCCGGCTCAATGAAGCTTTCTTTTCCCGCAGGTTGGAGGCTGGGCAGCTGCGATCAGAGAGCTGGATTGCAAGCGGCCACCGGGCGGCGGCCCCTGTGGCGGTGGGAAGCCTTCCAGCCCCCAGCCCTTCCTCCATGTCCCTGGCTAGCCCGAGTGTAAACAGTACAACTCGGGCAGGGCCACGGGTGGGTTTGGTCAAGGGAACTCAAAGCTTTAAAGGCCCACTTGGCCTTTCTGGTGTCCCCAGAGTTCCTGGGGGTGATGTCACATCCTTTACTCTGATGTCACGTTGAGCACGTGACGTCACATGCTGTCCCCAAGACCAGGCGCCAGGGCCCTCTGGCTGAAATCACAAAGTTTCTCTGGGTGGAGCCACTTGTGCGCACCCCAGAGTTGTGGGTAGGGGCCTAGAGGTAGTGCGCCGCCTGTCTTCGGTGGGTACCTTGACTCCTTCCTTCTTGCTCCTCTCCTCCCGCCCTTCCCCTGTTTTAGCTGTGGGGGCCGAGGGAGGGCCGGCCCCGCCCACAGCCCCTCCTCCTGCCTCCCGCCCTCAGGGTCAGGAAGCGCGGAAGGAACTGCCGGGGGCCATGGACGGGGCTGTGATGGAAGGACCGCTCTTTTTGCAGAGTCAGCGCTTCGGGACCAAGGTAGTCGGGGGCGGGAATGCCGAACCCCATCGGGGTAGAAGTGAGTGAAAGGGTCCAGCCAGAGGGAGGGGGCGGGTAGCATGTTGGAGCGCCGGGCGCTGGCAGTTGGAGAGCCCGGTGACGTTCTCGTGAAATGTCTTTGCACACTCTCACAAAATTGCTTTTGCACACAGAAGCGTGTGCAGACTCTGGGTATACACTCTTGATGCTGGAGGTCCTTCTTGGGAAACTTTGTTTTTTGACTGGGAGTGCCAGACCTCAAATTGGCCTGCGCGGGTCCTTCCTCTACCGTCCGGGTGTTGCTGCTCGCGCACTTCTGCTCCCTCCCCCGCCTCTCTCTCCCTCTCCTCAGAAGTGGAGGAAGACCTGGGCTGTGCTCTACCCGGCCAGTCCCCATGGTGTAGCGCGGCTCGAGTTCTTTGACCATAAGGGGTCGAACTCTGGAGGTGGCCGCGGGGGCTCGCGCCGCCTGGACTGCAAGGTGATCCGTCTGGCCGAATGTGTGAGCGTGGCTCCTGTGGCAGTGGATAGCCCCCCTGAGCCGGGCGCCGTTGCGTTTCGCCTGGACACTGCGCAGCGCTCGCACCTGCTGGCAGCGGACGCTCAGTCCAGTGTCGCTTGGGTGCAGACGTTGTGCCGAAATGCCTTTCAGGTGAGGGGACCGGGGTTCTAGGCGAGGGGCTGTGGCAAGTAGCCCTGGGCCTAAGGGGCGGTTTAAGGTGGGGTGGTTAACAGAGGCGGTCCACTATCCCGTACCCCAGAACTGCGTTGAGGAAATTATAGCGTCATTCATGCTCTCTCTACTACAGAAAGGCAGCTGGGCTCCGGTGCTGGCAGAGAACCCACCTAAGCTTTCTGCCCTGGAGATGCTGGAGAATTCGTTGTACAGCCCCACCTGGGAAGGTAGATACCTGAGAAGGCAGGGGTGGAGTGGGAAGGAGGCGTGCTCTTGGTGAGTCAGTGATTACAGGGGCCAGGGACTCTTAGAGAAGTAGGAAGCTTCTGAGATTCCAAATGAGCGCTTGGACACTACTCAGGAGTCCTCTGGGTCTCCACCCCTGTCAACAGTGCACCATTCCCCAGGTGCCCATCTAACTGTGTATTCCTTCCAGGATCCCAGTTCTGGATAACCGTCCAGAGGACTGAGGCTGCTGAGCGCTGTGGCCTGCATGGCTCCTATGTGCTGAGAGTAGAGGCTGAGAGACTGACACTCCTGACCGTGGGAACACAGAATCAGATCCTAGAGCCACTCCTTTCCTGGCCCTATACGCTGCTGCGGCGTTATGGGGGTGACAAGGTACAAGGGCTGTCAGGGAGGTCTGTGAGGGTGGGCTTCCTGAGCTGGACAGCTGTAGGCCAGGACCGGCAGGATAGAAAGATGGAAAACTCCACCCTTTGAATACTCCTTTTGCCTATACCCCAACCCCACCCTCCATCCTCAGACTTGTTTGTAAATGCCCTAAGTAGTTCAGGTCCTGTGATCTACCTCTTCTGATACTCCTAGTAATGTGTTTCCCTTCACACCCTCCTCAGGTCATGTTCTCTTTTGAGGCGGGTCGCCGCTGCCCCTCTGGCCCTGGAACCTTCACCTTCCAGACCGCACAGGGAAATGACATCTTTCAAGCAGTTGAGACTGCCATCCATCGGCAGAAGGCCCAGGGGAAGGCAAGAGAGGGGCAAGGTGTCCTCAGAGCTGACTCCCTTGCAAGAGAGGGGCAAGGTGTCCTCAGAGCTGACTCCCAAGAAGGGGAGGTGGCAGAAGGGAAATTGGCTTCTCCTCCTGTTCCCCAGGAGGTACTAGGCAGTACCCCAGTCCTGTATGCTGAGCCCTTAGACTCCCTGCGCATTCCTCCAGGCCCTTCCCAGGACTCTCTCTACTCAGACCCCCTGGACAGCACCTCTGCTCAGGCAGGGGAGAGGGTACAGCCCAAGAAACCTCTTTACTGGGACTTGTATGAGCATGTGCAGGAGCAGTTACAGAAGGCCAAGCTGACGGACACCAAAGAGGACCCCATCTATGATGAACCTGAGGGCTTGGCCCCAGCCCCTCTTCGGGGCCTTTATGATCTGCCTCAGGAGCCCAAGGATGCATGGTGGTGTCAGGCTCGAGTGAAGGAGGAGGGCTATGAGCTCCCCTACAACCCTGCTACTGATGACTATGCTGTGCCACCCCCTCGGAGCATAAAGCCCCTCCCAGCTCCCAAACCCCAGGGTCTGGCCTTGCCTGAACCCGGTGCTACAACTGGCAGTGGCAGCAAGGGCCACAGGACAGACACTGCCCTGTACAGTCAGGTTCAGAAGAGTGGGGCCTCAGGGGGCTGGGACTCTGGGTTCTCTAGAGTAGGGAATGACAGAACTGGAGTCAAGACAGAGGGCTCTACCTGAGAATGTTGCTGATATGAGGACCATGGTAAGGTGACACTGGGGATAAAAGAAACCTGTTAAAACAAATAGGACCAGAGAGTGTGAGGGGCCCAGATGAGACCTGAGGATCAAGGGATTAGGGAAATCAAGGGGAGGATCATCAGTCCCTAGAAGTCCTAGGGTGTGGAACTGATGGCAGGGCTGAGGATAGACTCTGGAGAGGGTCAGCACTCCTAGTTATCCCTCTCCTAAAAGAACAGACAGCTGTTTGCTCAGGTCTACAGAAAGGGGTACTTGGTTAAAGTGGATACAGTTTGAAGGGCCTGTATGGAGGTTGCCTGGGTACTTACTCCTGCACTTTTCTTTGCCAGAGAAATATTTTTATAAATTTAAAGATTCTCATTAAAGTCATCTTGGGTTTAAGAGGTCTCTGTGTGTGAATAGACACAGAGTGGGCACAGTGGCAGGGTGTGCTGGGTGAGTGTGGAGGGGATCAAGAAGAGAACCAAGAATTTGTTGGGGGCCATAAGAGGAGGAGGGACCCTGGGAGGGAAGCCTGCAGTGTGGCAGTTCAGAACCCGGGTAGTCAAGTCAAGGCCAATCTCAGCTGGACTCTAACTCTGTGTCCCTGGGTGAGTTGTATGACATCAGTCTTCCCCATTGCCCCTTTGTAAAGTACAGAAATTAATAATGTTCTAAATACCTCCTGGGGTGGTTTGTATGAAATGCAAGTACATTTCTGAAGTACTTAGTGTAGTCTGAAGCACAGAGAAAGTATTTTACAAATGGTAAAACTATTCTGTGGGTGGAGGGAGCTGACAGGTGAGTAGAGTTAGGGAGAGAGGAATAAGAAAGGAGCAAGCCTTTTTGACACCATCCTTTCCCCTGTTCTCAGGTATATGACAGCCCCTAACTCCCAACACACACACTTTGCATGTAGGTAACAAGCACCAAGCACTTGTCTATTTGTAGCTAAAGGAACTGCAATGTGGTGGGTATACTGGGAAGAGCACTGGCTCTGGAATGAGGCTTGGGTTTCAGTCCTTGTTTTTCATGAGTGTTGAAAATCTTATCCCCATCTGCTTACATGAGCTACAAGGAGAAATTCTGGGCTGGGAATGCTCCTAACAATGGTGAAGGTTTACTAGGCATTTAATCTTCATCTGTGACAATAGTATCAAATGATTGAAAAGAAAACAAGGGTCCTTGCTGGAGAAGGGATAGGCTTGGGTGTGTTGCTTCTCAGCCTGAGTGGGGCAGTGGCAGCATAGAGGACAGAGAAAGGAAAGGCTCTTTCTTTGCCTGAGCTCACAGAGGCTCAGGTGGATAGAGGGCAGGTGTGACTACAGATAGCCATTGTGCGGGTCTTGGCATGGACGTGGTGGCTGAGTAGGGTGGCTACACTCTGGTGCTAGTAACTCAGGGCCATGAGGGATACTTTTCCTCCACTCAGAAGGCCGCAAGAAGGCTTCTGAGGAAGCTTTGCTGGCTGCTGGCAACTTGGGGGCTGTGCTCAGGGCTGGAGTCATTGGCAGGGGGAGCACTGTGGCACGAACTCTGTTGGTCTGCAACTGCCCAGCCTGTGAAGAGAGCAAGCAGAGGCTTCTCTGAAGATCAGACAGATGCTGAGGTCCTTTCTTATTCCCCCTCGAGCCTCCTGTCCCTCACATGTTCCCTCTCTAGAGTGAAAACGTCAAGGCCCAGGGATATGACTGTGGAGTCTCCATGGCCTGCAGCCTCTACAGTGTTATCTCCTCGCCCAGTGTCCCTTCTCTGTTAGCTTGCCCACAATCTAACTCATGGAGGGCTCTTCCCACACATCTGGTCAGTTACCTCCCACTCTAGACTGGAGTTGGGAAATATCCTTCTCCTGTAATTTTAGCTAATACAAAAAGGGAGTTTTTCTAAAAGATCTGTTACTGAGAAACTTGGAAAAAAATTCATAAGGGCAAAGGGCAGCCCAAATATTACAGAGCATGGGTCTTAAAAAATATTTCTCCTTCAATTTCTTATTTCAACCCTTGTCACCAGGGCCCTGTCTCCAAGTTACCAAGATTGATTAGCTTCCCTTTTCTCATCTGTACAGTGAGTATAATACAACTTGCTGGGATGCTGGGAATATTAAATGAGAGAAATATGTGAAAGCACTTGTCATAAAACCTGGAAAATGATTGACACTCTATAAATGTTATTTTCCTTTCCCGTAGGCAGCTCTTTTTCTACCTTCCCTTCCACCTTTTCTTTCAAGGAGAGAGCTATGGTTGTAGTTCCAGTATATCCAGTTTGCTTAATGGAACAATGGTCTTGTTAAATGACTAAAGAGTTATCATAAACACTATCATTAAAACACCCAAGCTTTATATGTAAATGCCTAAGCAGACAAGCCTCCTTATCCCGTGGGGTTGGGATTTCTTTCTTTCTCCTTCTTTTCTTTTCTTTTCTTTTCTTTTGCTGATACTGGGGATTGAATCCAATGTCTCCCATATGCTAGTTAAGTCCTCTGCATTAAGCTATATTCCAAACTCTTTTTATTTTATTTTGTAACAGGGTCTCTTAAATTGCCTAGGCTGGCCTCAAACTTGTGATCCTCCTGCCTCAGTCTCCCAAGTAGCTAGGATTAACAGGTTGCCATATCCCAGCTCCTTGTCTTTTTTTCCCTCCTTTCTTGGCCTGGTTAATTCCTTCACCTGGGGTGGGATCAGGGAGGAGGGCTGCTTCCTTGAGTCAGGGTGGAGCTGGGGATGGGGATAGAGTGTTCTCTTGAGTTGTAGGAATAAAGGGGAGGGAATGATGTGAGGAAGGCAGGGAAGAAGGGGAGCTCTACCTTTCTTGGAGTCCTGTTCTCCCAGTTTGGGTAAAGCCGCCCCTGAGGCTTGGCAAAAGTGCTGCTCAGGTGTGAGTACAGATGGCTGCAAACCTGTAGTGGGTTGTAGGTGGGCTCCAGCTCCAGGCCATCCAGCATGCTCTGAGGAAGAAAGGAGGAGCTTCACTTGGGAACTTGAGGTCACATAATGTAAGATGCAGAGACCCTTGTATGTGAGAGGTTAGAGGATGTATGTAGTCCTAGGGCTGGAGAAGAGGCAGTGAAACAGACACACCTCAAAGAGTGTGCTGTCCAAGCCTGAGTGCTATGAGGTAAATGGCAGCCAAGGGTATGAAAGTAGGGGCAACCCCAAGTGGTTGGGGACTCTGAATTAACTGGCCCTGGGAAGTGGGTCACCAGGTTCTTGGGAGTAGCTAGGACAATCCTAAGGGGTACAGGGATCTGGTATGGGTGGCTGAGGGAGGGAGTGTCCTCAGGGTGGGGGTTCTCCAATCTGCAAGGCAAGTACACAGAGTTCCTGGCCTGAGGTGAGCTGAGCAGAGAAGGAGGGACATAGGAGCACAGCATTCCTGAGCAGTCAGGTTTTCCGGCCACAACATCCTGTGCCAGGAACCACTGGCCCCAAATCGAGACACTGAGTGAGCCACAGCCACTTGTGCCCTCCTCTCTCTGCATCCTCTTGGCTGCCAGGCTCTGTTCTTTCAAGTCTGCTGGCAATCCAGCACTGATGTAGTTGATGTAGTTCCGGATCTCCCTCTCCAGAGCCTCCCCATCCCACCCCCAGGCTGGGGAAACTAGCCAAGGAAAAACAGAATCCAAATGTAGAGAAGAGAGGAGGAGAAGATGGCTTTCAGGACTGTTCACTCCTTTGCATTCAAGTCTAATTTTGGGGCCCTTCCTATTATGGTTCCTACGTTGATTGGCTTTTGCTTTTTTCCCAACAAATAGAAATAGATGCTGGGGCTGGGGATGTGGCTCAAGCGGTAGCGCGCTCGCCTGGCATGTGTGCGGCCCAGGTTCGATCCTCAGCACCACATACAAACAAAGATGTTGTGTCCGCCGAGAACTAAAAAATAAATATTAAAAATTCTCTCTCTCTCTCTCTCTCTCTCTCTCTCTCTCTCTCTCTCTCTCCTCTCTCTCTCTTTAAAAAAAAAAAAAAGAAATAGATGCCTAGAAACAGGTCTAATACCTAACACCTGTACACATGAACTGCAGAGAATTAGACCTGGAAGAATGCATCATCACACAGACATGCACAGGAGGAGCCACACACTAAGGCACAGACATGCAGCCACCTACAGACAGCACATACACATTCAGGGACACCAAAATAAACATCCAAAGACACTAAAACACATATACAAGCTTCAGTTTCTTGGGCATCTCTTTTCACTCCCTCCTCCCTTCTTCATTTTTCCTTTGCTATCCACTCCGTCTTGTCTTTCCCCTTTCCTTCCTAATGTACTCCTTTCATTTTTCCAGCCCCACAGTCTCCTCTCCATGATGAAAGTGTTAGAAATTCAGAGGGGGAGAGGAGCAGGCAGGATAGCTGCTAGCAAAGATAAAACTAGACCAGATAAACAAGAATTCAGTGCTCCACCTGGTGCTGGACCTGCCTGTGCTGACTTCCTCCCCTGCCTCCATTCTCCCTTGCTTGCTCTCAGCTTTCCCTTCTGACACTCTCCCTTTTCTCCTTTGCAGCTCCCCATTGGTGTTTATTTTAATCAGATTTCAGGGTGTGTGTGTTTGTGTTTGTGTTTATGCTCCTCCAGGATGGCACTAATTCCCAGTCCTTAGCTTATACCAGGGACCTTTTTCTCTCTCAGTTCTCTTTTCAAACCTCATTTCCCTCAAGCCAAGTAGGAGTTTCCCTTCTACTTCATTTCTCACTTTGCTGCCTTAATCTTAGCATTGACTACCCACTGCTCTCACCCCCATTTCCCATCCCTTCAGTCTTCTTTGACCTTCATGCCACACCCATGGGATCACTCCCCTCTCTACCCTCCCCCAATTATCTTCTCTCTCCTCTATCTATACCATGAGACTGGGTTCCACTTGCCTCCACAGTCTCAAGGCTGTCTTGAGGAGGGTCCTCAGGCAGCAGGGGGAAGGGGCTGGGCAGCATGAGTTCCCGTGTGGCCACAGCCTTCACCAGCAATGTGGGCGAGTTCGATGGCATGATCACATAGAAGGTGCTGGCAGGAACTCTTTGGCTGTGTCCTAGGCTCAGCGGTTCCCCTTTGGCCAATAGCATCCATTCTCTTTTCTGAAACAAGGACATATATAAATGCTAATTAACCTTCAGTCTTTGGCATATTTTGAGGATCAGTCTCAACTGAGACTTCCTTGTTCCTCTAGGGGTACGGGGGAGGACAGAACACTTCACTTTGGCCTGGGAGGGAGGGGCTTCCTGCCTGAATCACCAATACCACAAGGTACTATCTTCCTCCCTAGTCCAGGATATGCCAGAGTGAAACACAAGTTAAGAAATGCTCTTTAATTTGAAGTTGGTGGTACCCCAAGTGGATTATTCGATGGTGAGTGTTTGTTTCCTGTATTTGTTTGTTTGCTTTGGTGCTGGGGATTGAATCCTGGACCTCATGTGTGCTAAGCATGTGCACTACCGCTGAGCTATATCTCTAGCTGAGAATTAGAATAATTTTTTTCTTTTTTTTGTGCATGTGTTTGAGGAGTGGGTACTGGGGATTGAACCCAGAGGCTCTCTACCAGGGGCCATACCCCTAGCCCTTTTTAATATTGTTTTGAGACAGAGTCTTGCTAAATTGCTGAGGCTAGCCTCAAACTTGCAATCCTCCTGCCTTAGCCTCCTGAGTTGCTGGAATTACAAGTGTACTTCCCCATACCTGGCTCAAGAATTATAATTCTTGGGCTGGGATATAGCTCAGTCTGTAGAGTACATTCCTAGCATGCACAAGGCCCTGGGTTCAATCCCCAGCAGCATCACCAAAAAAAAAAAAATTATAATTCTTAACAATGTCTGGGAACAGAGATGTGTAAACCAGGCACCATGGTGCATGCCTGTAATCCCGTTTGGGGAAGCTAAGGCAGGAGGATTGAAAGTTTGAGACCAGCCTGGGAAACTTAGTGAGACCTTATCCCAAATTAAGAAAATTAAAAGGGCTGGGGATATAGCTCAGTGATAGAGCACCCCTGGATTCAATCTCTAGTACTGTCAAAACAACAACCATCACCACCACACCAGCAAGCTAAGTGACAGAAATGTGTCGAAGGTGGTATAGAAATTCAGATTTTAATTTGAGGGTGATAAAGTCCGGTTGTGTTGCTACTGACTGCAGTTAGAATGGGATGATTGGGGTGTGCCCCTCTTATGCCCAGAATGGGTTTAAGAAAGTACTCAAAGCAGTCTGTTGGGTAAGAGAAGGAGGGGACAGGAGAGGAAAGCTTTAGTATAACCAGGCTGTGGTGGTGGAGACAGGGCTTTGAAGATCAACCCAGCTAGTCACAGGACAAAGCCAAGGGTCAGGATTCTGGTCGCAGCAGCTCTGTGAATAAAGATAGGTGGCATTTTGCCACATACCATGAAGATGACAGAGGTTAGTACATGGGTAAGGAGAAAAGACAAGCAGACTTAAAAGCAGACTTTGTAGTTGCACCTTTTTAAATGAGGCAATTTTCCGTGGTATTTTTCCAAGGAAACACACAAAACTCCAGGAAATATGGAGCCAGAAAGGTTACAGTCATCTGTAAATTGTGTCCTTTTGTGGGTGATTATTAGTTATATCTGGCACAAACATAAGTCTCCCTGCTACATAAGATGAAAGAAAACAATACCAGTTCTAACCACTCTAACTTGTATGAAAAGTTGGAAGAAATATTGTATGAGAATGGCACAAGGAAAAGGAAAAGCTTTTAAGAGAAAAGAGGGCTATCAGTGTCTTAAGGAAGGCAAGTAGGAAGTGACTTAGGGAGGTGGCAACACCTGCTGCATTGGAGTTATACACAGAGGCTGGGTGAGAAGGGGTGTCGGCTCTCTTGACTTGTAAAAGTAGTGTTGTCATCCTATGCAGCACAGAGGTTTGAAGAGTCTAGTAGGCACCAACAAGTGGTAGGGAACCTGTTAATGTCCTCAAGAAGTGTGTACCGTTCCTGTGGCTGGTGACCTCTCTGTGGGGTGGGAATCAACTGATATTTCTGGAGGTATAATACTACCTCCTCAAAGAAGTTTGTTTGTTTGTTTTTTTGGTGGGTGGTGATGGTGGTAGTGGTGGTTAGGTGGTTTGGACATGGGAGAATGAATCACAACCATAATGATAATCACAAACATTAATGAAATGCTTAACAGGTGCCAGGCACTGTGCTAAGAGCTTTATAGGTGCTTTCAGAAGTTCTTGGCATCTTATATTTGGAGGTGTGCTATCTTCCTGAGGGACATATCCAAAATATGATGGGAAATATATCTGATTCTTACCAAATCCATCAGGTTGGAAATAAATGATATAGGAATCATGGTATATGTGTGTGTTGGGTTATTTGCATGCCTCAGGGTCATGGCCTCTTTAAGCCCAAAGGGATAAATAGGAAGTTTATAAGAGTACTCCTCTTCAGTTAGCTGAAGTAACTTCTGATAGGGCTCAGGATTTGAATTATTATTATTATTATTATTTATCCTTTTTTTTAGTTGTTGATGGACCTTTATTTTACTTATTTGTATGTGGTGCTGAGAATTGAACCCAGTGCCTCAACACATGCTAGGCAAGCACTCTACCACGGAGCTACAACCTCAGCCCTGGATTATTATTAACTTTTAAATCTAATTTTTACATTAGTTCATGCATTCTTTTGTAAATTTTTTTATTTGTTAAAATTTATTTAGTGCCTATTATGTCCCAAGCACTAGGTGTATGTTGATAGAAATTCATTAGACATGTTCCTTGTCCTCTTGGAGTTTATAAGAGAGTAAGGAGAAGGCTTATAAACTAATGTTTGTCCAAGTCTTAGGATGCTCAACTTGTCTGGCTTGCCTGTTTTTAGTACTGACAATTTTATGCCCCAGGTAACCCTTAAGTCCTGGACAAATCCTTCCAAGACTTGAGTAAGCATAAGGTATCTTGCCACTGATGTAAGAGGTTAGGGGCTAAAACTATGCCACTGTGACATTTTTTTTTTATGTCTGCTAAGACAGACATAAAAGGAAGAAACTCATCCCTGTTACTTTGTGGGGTTACTAAGAATCTTTGAATGTTGTACTCTGAAAACTTTTGAACACTAGAATTTAAGTCTATTGATTTTTAGACAGTAGCTAAGTTTCTGTTGGATAACTGGTAGGTGGAAATGATTACAGTCTTTTAAAAGTCACTGCTGATGCTGGGACTGTCAGAGGACTGGGAAGACTTGTGTTGCTGAAATGATTTTACAGAATGTTTTAAAACTTCTGGATTGATTTACAGAGAGTTTGGTTGAAGTCTATTTTAGGAGCTTCAGCAAATACATCTTTATTCCATGAAGACTTATCTTCAGTTCCCAGAAGCATTCAGAGAAAGTGAGAAATAGAGAAGTCAAACTTCAAGGTGTCCTTATTTAAGGTTTGGAATTTCTACCCTCTTCCTGGACAGAGATTAATAGTACCAGGGCCCAAGCTTGAAGATATTACTCAAGTCATGGGTTGACCTGCTAGGATAGGCAGTGGTACCTATGATGGACATGGTTAATTGCCATAGCAGGTGTCTGAGGCTGGGAAAAATCTTTGTCTGAGGATAGCCCAGAAGACCAGCCTTTGGGGTCCTTGACTTAAAAACATTGCTTAATGACTGGAGATGACTGCTGAATAACTTAACATATGTTTTGTGCTAATTCTAAAGAAAGGAGCATGAGTTATATGTTAAACTTTTTGCTTACAAGAAGGAAAGTAAAAAGAAGTCTGTGTTTATGTTATAGTTAGTTATACTTTGTCATATAGAGTGCCAGCCCAGGACACTTAGACTTTATAAAGAGGGCCTGGAAATCTGTAGAGCAGATGGACAGGGACAGAGTTGAATGTTATGTCATACTTCAAGCTTAGCTTCACTTAAAGTCATTTCATTCTTTTTTAAAATATTTATTATTTTTTAGTTGTAGTTGGACATAATACCTTTATTTCACTTATTTATTTTTATGTGGTGCTGAGGATTGAACCCAGGGTCTCGAACGTGTGAGGTGAGCGCTCTACCGTTGAGCCACAACCCCAGCCCTCATTTCATTCTTCACTTAACTTCTAATTGCTAAGGCTATAAAGGAAGTTATGGCAATACCTGGCTAGCCACCACTCCCATTCTCCACCTCTTTTGCTCTACCCAATTTTCAGTCTTCAGTCATTGGTCTAGGGGTGATTATGTGACCTGGATTTAAATAATGAGACATAAGTGGAAGTTGCTGGGTGAGTCTTTTGGAAAAACTTTGTAATATGATGGTAGGCCTTTGCCTCTGTACCTTACTCCTTTTTTCTTCCTTGGACAGGACTTGGTCTTAGGTGTATCAGCTCTCTTGTAACCAGTTGTAAGGATGATGTACACCTGCTATGAATGCTGAGGCACAAAAACAGAAAGATCTCTGGTCCTTGAGGTTCTCATTGATCAACCGCTTTTGCCCTGAAATTGTCTATCTTCAGACTTCTTTTTGTAGGAGAAAAATAAACTATTATTTAATTTACAGTTGTTTTTCTGTTAGTCACAGCCAAACAGATTCTTTAAAGGGAAGGAAGAAGATGTAGTTACTTATATCTGGGTATATGGCTGGGACAGGAGTGAAAGAAACAGCTTCAGGAAGGAACAGCACTGATGTAGGCTTTGCTTGAAGGGTAGGTAGGAGTTCATTATAGCAGGTGGAAGCTTTAATTTTACTAAACCAGCACTGCCTTAGTTAGCTATCGGTGTGATGGCCTGAGACTAATTTCAGAATGCAATTGAAGAAGCACAGATCAACTCCTGAGTGAGAGTGTTTCAGAGGCAGTCATTGACAGTAGGAGGAACAAGACCACTCATTTTGCTCTGCTTGTGGGGAAGAGATATATTTCATTAGCACAGGAATACATGTGCTCACGAAGTGAAACTGCAGCTAGTTAAGGAAAAGCTAAGCATACCTTGGCATAGCTTTTCTTTTTCCTACAAGAAAAGACAGGCTCAGATATCTTCTCTGGTGAAGTCTACCAAATGTTTAAAGAAGAAATAACACTAATCCTTCACAAATTCTTAAAAAAACAAAACAAGAGAGAGAATCCTTTCTAAATGGAACCTGGAAGGACATCAGGAAGAAATTAGAATAATTCGATATTTACTTTTCTTTTCACCTCAGAAAGTTAGAAACCAGACAGGGAGAAGAATAATATACAATGTTCAATATTCTCTGCTGTCATGCTGACTTCCACAAAGGGGACTAGAGGAAGTAGATAAAAGGGATTCTGGACTGGGGATGTAGCTTAGTGGTTAAGCACTTGCCTAGTGGGGGTGAGTTCCTGGTTTTGATCTATAGCACAGAAAAAAAAATCCAAATACCAAAATACCAGATTAAACATTCTTCTCAATTGAACATGGAATATTCAATGTATTTTCTCTAACCACAGTGGGATGAAATTAAAAATAAAGAATGAAAAACAACCTGGTAAATTCACAAATATGTGTAAATTAAACAACATACTTTACATAATTAATGGGTCAAAGAAGAAATTGCAAGGGAAATTAAAAAATAATTTAAGATGAATGAAAATTAAAACATAACAGTAAAACATGACACAGTTAAAATGGGTTTGGAGTGAAATTTATAGTGGAAAACTCTTACATTAAAGAAGAAGAAATTTCAAAGAAAAAAAATCTAGTTAAGAAACTAGAAAAACAAGTGCAAACTAAACTGAAGCAAGCAAAAGAAAAAAAAATAGAGTAGAAATAACTAGTGAATGGAAAAATGATAGAGAAAAATCAATGGAACTGAAAGCGATTCTTTGAAAAGATCAACAAAATCACTAAACTTTTAGTTATATTGATTAAGGAAAAAGGAGAGTTACTAAGTTACTAAAGTTATAATAAAAGTAGTAATAAAATACTGACTTTATAAAAATAAAAAGGACTGTAAGGGAATATTTCAAACATTGTATGCCAACAGGTTAGATAACCTAGATGACATGGACATATTCTTAGAAAGGTTCAAGATGTACAAAATATGAATAAATTGGTATTCGAGGACCTAAAGTCCACCCCTGGGTATAGTGATTCACTAGGAGGACTCACAGGATTCAGTATAAGTTGTATTCATGGATATTATTTATTATAGCAAAGGGATACAAGCAAAATTAGGAGAGAAAAAAGACTCATGAGGCAAAGTTCAGAGGAAACTAGGTGCAAGCTTCAAAGAGTCCTCTCTTTCTGTGGGGTCACATAGAATATTCTTTATTTCTTCAGCACTGAATTATGATAACAGAAGAGAAATTTCTCATCAGACTCAGTGCTCAAGATTTTTACTGGGGGCTGGTTATATAGACACTCTGTAGCTGGCATGCACCAATATTCTTCGCTTGTAGAGTAAAAGCAGATGTTAGTATAAACCATATTGATGCCCAGTGAACCACTCTTATTATTTAGGAAATGGTGGGAACTCTCCCAAATTTCAAGTTCTCAAGGGCTAATCAAAGGTCAACCTTGCAAGCAGGACTTTCTAAGGATAGGAGTCTTAGGTCTGTTAAATTACCTGTTTTCTGCACAACCTATAACAAATAAAGATATATAGCATTAATAATCAGAAAACTTGCCACCAGAAAAGACCAGGCCCAGATGGCTTCACTGGTAAAGTCTACCAAATTATTAAGGAAGAAATAACACTAATCCTTCACAAGTTCTTCAGAAAAATAGAGTAAGAGGGAACACTTTCTAAGTGATTTTATGAGAACAATATTGCCCCAATATCAAAACCAGACAAAGACATCATAAGAAACCTATAGATGAATATACATTATGAATACATATACAAAAATTCTCAACAACATAGGAACAAACAAAATCTATCAACATTTAAGAAGAATTATACTTCATAACTAAATGGAATTTATTCTGTGAATGCAAGTTTGGCTTGATGCCCAAAAATCAATCAATGATTATATTAATAGAATTATACATTACATTAATAGAATTAAAGATAACAACTACATAATCAGCCAGAAAAAGCAGAAAAAGCTTTTGATAAAAACAAATACTCTGTCATGATAAAAACACTCAACAAACTAGGAACATAACAGAACTTCCTTAATCTGATAAAAGCCTTAATGAAAAACTCCAGCTAACTTCACATGTAGTGGTGAAAGATAGAATGCTTTGTCCCTAAGAGCAGAATAAGACAATGATGCCTGCTCCTGCCACTTCTACACAACAATGGTACTGGAGGTGTGCTGAATACCAGAGAGCCATTTCCTACCTTTCTGACTGTGTTAGGCCACTTTGATTCTAGGTATAACCCTAGGAGGAAAAACAACCATGAAGATACTGACTGTGTCAATAACCTGGTACTTGGAAAATAATATTTTCTAAATTTAATTTAAAAGAACATAGTAATATGATATTTCTCATGTCATGGCACAAATTCATACTGTTATCAGTGTTATGAAGGTTAAATGTGGCAAGAGCTACACTGGTGGGGAAGGACAAAATAAGTGGGGGCAGGGTAAGTTGGGGACAGAAAGTCTTGAAAGGGAAGGTATTTAAGCAGAATCTGGAAAAAAGGAGTAGATCTTTGTTAGGTGGTGACGCAACCTTGCATGTAGTGGTGAAAGATGGAATGCAGGGGGACTCGAACATTATGAAGACACTGAATAAACTAGGAATATAATGGGACTTGCTCAACCTGATAAAAGCCTCTATAAAAAACTCACAGCTAACCTTGTATGTAGTGGTGAAAGACAGAATGTTTTGCCCCCAAGAGCAGGAACAAGACAAAGATGCCTATTCTCGCCACTTAAAACAACTATACTGGAGGTGTGCTGAATGGAGGTGTGGAGGTATGAAACAATTTAGCTTATCTGAGTAACATTTAGTAATTTATTAATGTGGCTGAAATGGAGAATGGAAGGGGCATGGTGAAAGATGAAATAAGAAAAATAGACAGAAGTGGGTCACCGGGAGCCTACTGATCCCATGAGGTGCTATCCTCACACCCATTTTCCATGCATGCTACCTTCTACACTCATTTACTCATTCTGTCCATTTTTTTTAATGGTGCTTGACCTGCCATCACCCTGCTTTTGGCTTGGAGTCTAGGGCTTGACTCTTTGCCTATTCAGCCAAGGACTTTCCATTTTTCCACCTATTTGCAGCCCAACCAGCCCATTGCCTGTGTACTCAGACTCCTGCTGGACACATCCTGGCTGGAGTCCTGTCACTTCTGTGGCCAATTAGGGCAGACATGGCCTGGAAAGCTCTGGAATGTGTCTCTAGGGACTCTGACATTTTAAGTAGGAAACTGAAAGACCTAGGTGGTATTTTCATTTCTTTTTCTAGTTCACACAGACATGACTTTGTAAGAGAAATGAGGATGTGGAAAGTGAGTCACTAGCTACATAACTGGGACTATACAGTGGGCTTTGGTAATTAAAATGTTATTTTCCTGGCAATAGATAGATTTCATCTCATAAAGACTTGGAAAAATTTTAGTTATTTTTATATTTATTCTTAACACATTACACAAAACAAGTATGTTAGTTTAGAAAAATGTCATATTACTATGTTCTTTTAAAAAGCACAAAAGGACACAAATAATTAAGGAGATTATGCAAAAGAAAAATAAGGGTAGAGCAATAATAGAGCTAAGATTAGATAAACTCTCAGAAATACAAATAACCCATTTTTGCTATAAGGATCCTCACAGCTTTTCCTGACAGAAAGTCTTAAAGAAGTTGTCTTATGGATTCTTATTGAGTAGTGCATATGTTTCAGACCTCTCCTGCAATCAGTATAATAACTTTCATGTGGCTACAGAGTGGCTTAGAATTTGGGACCTGGAGCTAGACTTTCTAGGTTCAATCCTAGCTGCACTCTTTCAGCTTCAGATTCCTTATCTATAAAACAGGGATAAGAATTCCTACCTTTTAGGATGGTTGTGGGCATAAATGAAAAGTTGTAAAGTGTTTAGAACTGTATCTGGCATATAGTAAACACTATAGAGTATTACATTTTAAAAATTAAAAATAAATTTAATAATTATCAGTCAATGTCTATTCAATTTTGTTAAATTTAATTGAACATTTCTAAGATATAGATCTATAAAAGTACCAAAGAATGCTATCAAAACACATGGCTCTCTTATGGTCTGAATTAATCTAAGAGTGAAATTTATGGGAATGGTAGACAACATCTATCTTTTAAAAATACTGAGTAAAGCTCATCTTCTGAGGAAATTGAAGTAAAATATTCAAGTAAAGTAAAAATAATCTCTGAGGAAGACAGAAAGATAATAATTTTCAAATAAAATCAGGGAGTGGAAATAATGGTTAAGACTGCAGTTGACTGAAGCTCATAACTAGAAAAGTTACACAACTTTTGATGAGGCCTCATGGGTTGGCATTAATCACTAGGATTCAATTATTGAAATATGGACTCGGTTCAGAAGAAAGATTGGAGGAAAAGACAGCATTGAATAAATTTATACTTATAGGGAAATCCAGGAGCCTGAAAATGAAAACATAATGGAACCAGCCAACTGGCTAAGCACAAATTAGAAAATGTATTATATGTCTAGTCAGATGGCAAAGGGGGAATAAATAAGCATTTAATAAGCATCTACTTCTGTGTCTGGGTTGGAATGGCCAATGGGAAACAGGTTCTTCTGCTTAGAACAAGTAGAAAAACTGCATAATTTACAGGACAATTTGTTCGAGGGCAGTGAGAAGTTGCTGTGGCAATGAGGATTAGAGGTAAACTCAGTTTCTAGAAAGGGAGAAATCCAGACAGAAGAGGGAATTATTACAGCTCCTTTTACTTTGAGGGTATGTGTTGATTCTGGGTTGGCGAGGGTGGTGGTGGTGCTAGTGGGGCTCAGGAATCTAGGATTTCTGACTCATGAAGCACTTGTAAGGAACAGAGAAACCAGTAAATCTTTTGGTGGAGACCTAGTGGTAGGGAGGAATGGGACTCAAGCTAAATTTCCACTCAGTACATTTTCATAGGGTTGTATATGTCAGGAGGCAAAAACATTTAAGGAGAAAACCTCTAAAAAACAGTGTTTTAGCAGTTTTGGAAGGCAGTGATTAGATTCAAGGTAGGGGATATACACAGTATACTAGGCTTTCACTTGAGAACTCTGAAAGGCCATGACTAAAATGAGACCATGAGTACAGCCTAGCCTTGACTCAGCACAGTTCCTGAGTAGAGTAGGATGATCAGCTGCCACTTTATCTGCCAGGGGCAGGGAAGGGTGAGCCCTTACTAGAGGAAGCCTGTACCAACTAGAGACTCTACAATTTTGTTTGATTATTTATTTGTTTACTTACTTATAGTATTGGGGATTGAACTCAGAGGCGCTCTATCACTGAGATATAAACCTAGTTTTTTCTTTCTCTCTCTTTTTTTTTCAATTCTGAGACGGGGTTTCACTAAGTTGCTCAGGCTGGTCTTGCACTTTTGATCTTCCTATCTCAGCCTTCTGAGTAGCTAGAATTATAGGCATGTGCCACTGCATGTGGCTCTACAGTTTATTTATTGACTGTTCATCTTTCACTAAAATATTGTCAAATATGCTGAAAATCAGTAAAATATATCTAAAAACCAAAAGAAAAAAGAAACAATAAGAACAAATCCACTTGACTCTGGTATTGGGGTTAGCTGAGAACTTCAAAATGCCTATGATTAGTATGTTAAAGAAAACAGGTAAAAATATGAAGAATTTCTCTAGAGAATTAGACTCTGCCCCCAAGTCCCCATTAAAAGTCTAATTAATTGCTGGGAGTGGTGGCACACACCTGTAATCCCAGTGGCTCTGGGGACTGAGGAAGGAGGATTACAAAAGCCAGCCTCAGCAATTTAGCAAGGCCCCAAGCAACTCAATGAGACCCTGTCTTAAAATTAAAAAAGGGGGGCTGGGGATGTGGCTCAAGTGGTGGCCCGCTCGCCTGGCATTCGTGCGGCCCGGGTTTGATCCTCAGCACCACATACCAACAAGGATGTTGTGTCCGCCAAAAAAAAACTAAATAAATAAATTCTCTCTCTCTCTAAAAAAAAAAAAATAAATAAAAAAGGGATGGGGATGTGGCTCAATGGTTAAGTGCCTCTGGGTTCAATCTCTGGTACTGAAAAAAAAAAAAAAGGAGGGGCTGGGATTTTGGCTAGGCGGTAGAGCGCTCGCTCACCTAGCATGGGTGGGACCCTGGTTCGATCCTTAGCACCACATAAAAATAAAGGCATTTTGTTGTGTCCATCTGCACCTAAAAAAATAAATATTTTTTTTAAAAAGGAACTGTGGACATGTGGATATAGCTCAGGGGCAGAGTGCCCCTGTGTTCAATTCCTAGTAGTGAAAACAAACAAACAAAAAACATGCCAATTAATATGGTACCAATGTACCAGGCAAATTAGAAGAGGGAGAGATTGGGTAGGGAAGTCAGTTAGGAATTTACTGAAGAAGTCTTGCTGAGAACAGCCAGGGAACAGACAAGAAAGGGCAGTTACACCTCAGTGTTACAATGTGACTTAGTGGTGAAATGGGTGTAAAGGGGGAGATGGCTGAAAGTGACTGAGGTTTCAAGCCTGGGTGACTAGACAATGGTGGTGCTGCTATTAACAGAAAGACAGAAGTTAGAATGAGAAGTTAGGTGGAAGGGAAACTCATAGTGAGAAAGAGAAGGCAAGAGAGGAGCTGACTTAACATCAAATCTTAAAAGAACATATGAAAAAAGTGTAAGAAAGAATATAAGAGGAAGGATAAAACTAAGGAAGTGTGGTAAACTTGTGACAACAGGGTGAGGGAGGCTAAAACTCGTAAGTCTGTCACAATGTGAATTGTGGTTGAATGAATAAGCTGAAACTTGTGAAAAATTCTTCTCTCTGTAACATACTGCTGTGCAGGAATTTTGCTGCTTGGAGATGTTATGTAGAAAGCAATAAGGAAGAGCCATTTCAATACTGTTTTTCTTCTCTTTTCTACACTAGGAGAGTGGTCTTTAATTTGGTGATGGAATAAACAGAGCTGAGAGAACAATGGCACAAAATGAGTGAAAAGTGATTATGAGTGCCTAGACACTTTAAAAGTGACTTCAAGCCCAGTGAAATATAGAACCGTGGGGGTTAAGTGAAGGGAGGATTAGCCTCAGTGTTGTAGTTTGTACTTATCTGTGTATACACAGGGAAGTTTAAAGCGTGGGCTTTGTAGTCAAATAGAACTAGGTTCAAATTCTGACTTGGCCACTTTGGTAGCTGTGTGATGATTGGTAAATCTCTTGGTCTCTTTACAGCTTTCTCCATCTGTAAAAATAAGGACAACAATCTTTACCACACATAGTATGGTACTATAAGGATTAAATGAGGTAAAGCATACAGAACACTTGGTTAAGTGCCTATATTTATTAAGTACTGCAAAAAAATGGGTATCTATTAGTCATGGGTCAATCATATACTTGTGTGTTTGCATGACAGAGGATTGATAAAGATAAGGTCTTTTCATCCCTAGGGCAGTGCCTGGCACATAGTGGTCAGTAAATATTGTTAAACAAAACAAACAAACAAACAAATAAACACAGATGTTTAATTAACCCCGAGGTTAATTGCAGGGAGACTTTGATCTTGTGTATGTAAGCCAGGATGGAAGTGAATACTTTTTCCCATCCTTACTTTTAATGGCTACATAATATTTCATTGCTTGGCCAATTATAGATCCTATAATATTTCTCCTATTTATATTTAATCACTTATATATTTAGGACATTTAGGTTGTTACCATTTTTTTACCATGATAAATAACATGGAGATGAACATCCTGTACACACATCTTTGCCCCTTCTTCTGATTATTTTCTTTGGATACCTTACCAGTAAAAGTGCTGAAGGGTATAATTTTCTATAAAATTTATATTCACTGTAGCAGTGTGTTAAAATGCCAATGTATGTTTAAAATATTATATACTATAAAAATGTATTGAGGAAGCTGGGGGTATAGCTCAGTGGTAGAACACTTGTTAGCATGTGTGAGGCTCTGGGTTTGATCACCAGCACCAAACACACACACACACACACACACACACACACACACACACACACTGTAATGAAGACACATGTGAGAAATTCTCCTAAGTGATGTATCTTCTCTAGGATTCTGAGGAATTGGGTGGAGTAAATAGTAAACTGAGGACTGAGGATATAGCTCTGTTGATAGAGTGCTTGCCTCACATGTACAAGGCCCTGGGCTCAATCCCCAGCACCACACACACACACACACAAAGTAAACTGAGCTGTTGGACACTGACAATCAGAACTGGTCTGCTGTCTCTGCTCTGCAAAGACAGGAGGTGGGTGTTCTTCAGATAGGAAACAGGAACTCAGTGGGTGGACCCTAAAAGGGAGTTTGGGCTTTGAAACAGGAAAAGAAGTTGGCTTCTGATAGAGAGACTCAAGGCCGTGCTGTCCTGATCAACTACTTTCTACTATTCAAATCCTCATTCTTTTCTGTCTTTGGATTCTATTTGCAGTTATTTTATCTTGATATCTAAGTATTCCATTTTGTGTGTGTGTGTGTGTGTGTGTGTGTTTATTTCCATTTCAGGGAGTGACAAACCTCTAATTGTTCAAGTCAGAAATCAAGGAGTTATTTATTACTTACTCTTCCTCACTCCCAACATTCAATCCTACACTAAGTTCTGATATTTCTATTTCTCTATTTGTTTACTTTTCTCATCTTGACTTCCAATATTCTAGTCCAAGCCACAATGTTCTCTACCTTATTTTCTTGTTTCCATTCTTGCTTCTGCTAGTTTTTAGTTCTAATTTCTGTCCAAGTAATATTTTAAAGTTTTAGAGAGCTGATATAATTTCTCATGATTTCTTTCTCTGCTTAAACTCCAAAGTCTTTAATTTAGTCTAAAGTTTTGCATGATTTGACCCTGCTTGCTTCTTCAACCCCACCTATTGCCTTTCTCTCCCTCCTTTATGTTTTAGTCACAATGGCTCCCCCTCATCCTCCAGCCCCAGCTCTTCATAGTGCTGGGGATGAAACCCAGGACTTTGCACTGAGTAACTCTACCACTGAGTTACTTCCACAGTTTCTTTCTTTTTTGGTTGCATAATGGGTTTTCCATTCTTAATCCTTCCTTTAGCACTTTCCAGTCTTCAAGTAGCCACACCTTCCTTTCCTTGCCTTGAGTGTTCTTCCTACCACATTTCACCTGGCTAATTTCCATTCATCTTGAAGATCTCAGTTTAAATGTTACTGCCACAGATAGGCTCTCTTATAGCAGCTTATTCTTTTCCTTTATAAGCTTCTCACAATTAAAACTTTATTTATCTCTTCTATTAGAGAATAAGTTTCTTGAGGAAAAGAAAATGTCTATTTTGTCTTCATTAAATATATATCTATGGCTTAGCACAGAATCTGGTACAGACCAAGGGATGTTCATTTAAATGAACTATAATGTTTAGCAGCACAGTGTTAGGAAGGAAGTAGGTTTTAAAATATATTACTGTGGAAAATTCTCTGCCATTTAAATGGTAAGCTTGTAAAATAAGGGATTTTGAACTTTAGTATTATATAACTAAATTCAGGAATTATTCTCTATAGCATACAGTCAACAAAGGCAAATAATATTTATTCCAAGTATCAGAGTATTTCCAACTTCCCTCCCTGTCTTCTTGAAGGTTGAAGCAGGTCTAGATTAGGAAAGGATTTGTGGCGATTTTTCAGAGGCTGGTACTTGTCTTCTTTCTCACCTGTGGACAGAATACTCACCAGAAGGCTGTGACACAAAGCATGAAAATGCTGCTGATTTGTCTCCAGCTCATCCCAGTCCAGCTGCCAACAGCTTGTGGGTCTGAGGATGAAGGGGAGTCCATATGTCAATGACTCGCAGAGTCCGCTAGATTTTAGAGCCCTGGAAAGAGATGATGGCAGAGAGAGACTATTCAGTGATATCTAGAACTTCTACCCAGATACACTTAAATCCAGCATAAGTCTAAGACCCCATTGTGAAACCTTTTAGATTAGGATCCATGAATTATTCAGTTTTATATGGCCAGTACCTAGCGTGGCATCTTGCATACAGAAGATTCTCAAAGCTCAGGAATCTGTGCATGGGATCTGTGGAACTAGGAAATAGTAAAAGTGGCCTTTGCCATCATTGTTCATTCTGCCTTAGAATTTCTAATACTTAGAGAAATGGGAGGGGTAGGGATAGAGTCTGTGTGCCATTTGCTCCTTGAAAATTGAATTTCTATTCTGATGTCTAAATATAGTAGCCATTCAATGAACATTCACTGACAATTAAACACCTTTCTAGTGATCATGCTTTTCCTGTGTTCAGGGACTTTCTGGATTTCCAGTTCTCATAAAGACCTCAAAGTGTTCTGCAGCAGCGCTTCTTTCACCACCTCCTCTTTTCCCATGATGTGTTGAGTAGCCTGACCTTGGTTTCTCATGCCAAACTTGTATCAGCTACCTTGGAATTGTTTCTTGCCTGTCTGACACTTGAAAATGTAGTTTAAATCTCTGGACTTCTTAGGTATGGAACCAGTAATAATAGCATTTTCATAGATTAGGGAGATTCCTTGGACCATACTTGATTACTTGGAGTTTGTAACAAGAGGCTGAGGACTGGGAAGCCATCTGGTAGAGCGTGCTGAGGTCTCCTTTGGGGTCATCCATTCTGGAGGCACCGTCAGCTGTACCAGGGAGCAGAGATGGGCTGAGAAGTCGCTCTTGGAGATCACATTTCAGGCACACTATAGTAAAATTGGCATTGGAGGAGAGACTGTGGGTCACAAGTTACTTTGGGCTATGTCATTAAAAGAACATCTGCCACCCATTTCACTTCTACCAGGCAAAGGAGGGATGGAAGGAAGCAGGAGAGTGGGAAGAGGAAATCATGATTGGTTTGGGAAGGTAAAGCAGGTGCAAAATAGAAACAGTATTTCTATTGCTTTACATGATAGTTAACACATTTTCTGAATCTGACATGATTTTTACTTGTTTTACTTCTAGGTGGGCTGAGCAACTGTCTCACAGCAAGAGATCTGGCTTGTAATCCAGTCTGAGAGAAATTTGTGTCCTCTGTGGAGCAGGCAGCTGATGCCAAACATGCAGGGGCCTTTTGGCAATCACAGAAGGAAATTTTGTCTTTGCTGCTTCCTTGTGGCTAAGATTTGGCAAGATTGCAGGCCAGAAGAAGGAAGAGCAGGAAAGCAGAAGTCAGGCAGTCAAATGACTGCTACTATTTCTCTGTGGGCTCTTCTAGGGACATTCAGGGATATGGAAGGAATAAGTTTTTGAAATAGCTTGTTTTTAATTTTTCAAAGAAACCTGATTATTGGACTTTAGGCCCTGGAGCATCACTCGAACCAGCATCAGACAAGAGTTCTGAGGAGGGATGAGACTGGGTATGAGCTATTTATCTAGATATTACACTCTTTGTCTGTATTTTGCTTCTGCTCCAGCAGTTATATCCTCATGTTATAGGGTTCAGTATTCCATTGCATTAGGCTTGAATCCTTGATATTAAAAAGTTTTCAATAGAACATACCTGAGTTGAATATTGACAACTACAAATCTACAAATGTTGAGTACTTGTGAGAAGGCTGGTAGTTGACAGGAATTGTGAAATGACTAGTGAGGTAAAAACAAAAGTAGAAATAATATGGAAAAAAACAGTGGCAATATAAATGTCAGGTTCAGCTGGTAATCAACTTATACGTGGAATCCCTTTATCTCTCATGCCATTGGACTGAAACATAACAGCTTGTGTTCACTGGATCCTGAACCCAGTGAATAAGACATAGATATTAATTCTGGGTGAGCTGTCTCTTGGCCGGGTATCTCCTAGAGCACAGAAAGTCAGTTGGAGGGACTTTTCCTAGGATTTCAGCTCCCCTCATTTCCTCTGTGCTTGACTTCTCCACTTCTAGTCCCTCGTATTTAGTACTGGGCAGCTGTGTTCATCTAGCTAAAGTTTTTAATGATGGTTGCAATGAAAATCACCTAGAGAAATCTGCCCTGCCCTGTCCCGTACTGGGGATTGAATCCAGGGGTACTTTACCACTGAACTACATTTCCACCCACTTTTCTAAAAAAATATTTTTAAAATTGTAGATGGATATATAATATTTATTTATTTATATGTGGTGCTGAGGATTGAACCCAGTGCCTCACACATGTGAGGGAAGCACTTTACCACTGAGCTACAGCCCCAGTCCCTTTTTCCACCTACTTTTTATCTTAAGACAGGGTCTTACTATGTTGCTGAGGCTGTCCTTAAACTTGTGATCCTCCTGCCTCAGCCTCCTGAGTAGCTGGGATTACAGATGTGCACCACTGTGCCTAATTTCAAGAGAACTTCTGAAAAATACTGATGTCTGGGTCTAAACCAGATCAATTAAATCATGATCTCTGGGGATGAAGCCCAGATGTATGTATTTTTATAAAGTTTCGTAGTGGTTCTCATTTATTTATTTATTTGTTTTTTAGTTGTAGTTGGACACAATATCTTTATTTATTTATTTTTTTATGTGGTGCTGAGGATAGAACCCAGGGCCTCTTACATGCTAGGTGAGCACTCTACCGCTGAGCCACAATCCCAGCCCAGTGGTTCTTTTTTTTGGAGGGGTACTAGGATTGAAACCAAGGTACTTAACCACTGAGCAACATCCCTAGTGCTTTTTTATATTTTATTTTGAGATAGAGTCTCACTAAGTTGCCTCATGAGCCACTGGGATTACAGGCATGCACCACCATGCCCTGCCCTCATGTGGTTCTTATTGCAGCTAGGGCTGAGGACTACACAGACTGGAAAAACTGTTTAGCAGGGCTTAGATCTAGATGCAGGCATGCTTCTCACCACCCAGAGCTGAGGTGCAGAGGTGGCAAAGTCCATACTGGAGAACAGGAAAAGACATTAATCTGTGACTGCCTGCATGCTCTGTTTGCCAGAGTAAGATCTCTAAGTGAAGCTCCTAGAGATGAGTTCTGCATTCCTCCTAAGAGCCTACAGTAGGAGAGTTCACAGTTTTTGTTTTGTTTGCTTCATTTATTATTTTTTGTAGTAAGACACATGTCCACAACTCCATATGTGAGGCAATGCTTTTAGTTTAAAAAATAATAGCTGAGTACAGTATGATCTTTATTGTGGTTGTTTATAATTTCAGTCAGATCACATCACCCTAGAGGAAGCCTAATTTCCCCTAACCTCATTCCAACTGTGTCTGAACATCTGGGCTCCAAGGATGATGTCCCCAGTACACCAACTGACTGAAGTCTTGGTCTAAGTACTTTAAGATTTGAAGATTCTGAAACATGATTACAGATGGATATAAACATTATGACTCTGACTCTGGAGTTGAAAGCATTGGAAAAAGGGTGTGGGGGAAGCCACAGAAATTCTGATTAGCATTATAGGCAGATGTCACATAACAGTGGAGGAAAGATTGGTTGTAGTAGGGTCCCCACCCTCCTATTGAGAAAAGTGAACCTCTAGCTCCTTTATTCAGAGTTGTCTAGCATGGGGCAGGTTAGTGATGGATAAAGGCTTGGGGTTTGGAGGCAGACAGATATGCATTTTGATTATCTGGGCTGCAAGTGGTCAGATGTATGAAATACAGATTTTGATCCTAAGGGTAAAGAATGGGCCCTGGAATTGTCTAGCTTCAAATGGTGGCTCTGCTATTAATTTTTCTATACACCCATGGAAAAGTATTTAATTTCTTTGTCTCAGCTTTCTCATGTATAAAACAGGGATAATATTGTACTTAATTGATTTGAAGACATATTTCCCCCCTCACACTATCTCTATATCTGTCTTACAATTGCCATTGGCCAGACAGACATTCTTAGCACTTACTACTCTAATCTAAAAGAACTCTCTCAATAAAGATAAAATAATACTTCTAAGTAACAAGGAAACACTGTTTCATGTTTAATTGGCATGTTTTCTTTCTTACTGGTACATAAAATAGTGATGTATCTTCTAATCAATAGCATCTTAGATTCAATGACATATGGTAATAGTACCTGCTTCATTACATCATTATAAACATGAAAAGGGATAATTCAAAGAAACAAGTCACCATACTGCTTGGCAGAGAAAGAAAATTCAATAATGTTAATTATAAACTAGCTTCTGTATAAAGTCACTAGCTACCTGGAGGGAAGCAGAGTTCTAATGACTATCCCTAGCAAGAAAAGGTCTTGGGAAATCATAAATTTTACTTAATTATACCTCCAAAAGGCTCTTCCCTATCCTGAAGCAACAATGGTCAGAGCAGAGTTCTATTATAGATGAAGAAAAGAGAACAAATATAAAACTCAAATATACTGCTAATGGTCAAGAAAGAACCCTCAGAGAAGATAGAAACCCCAGTGTATCATTTCAGAGCCTGTGAGAAGGGCTCCAGGAAACATCACATCCCACTTAACCTTCAACCCTCAGTGATGTCTGTAGCCACTACCAATGTTCTATTCAATCCACTTTATCCTTTCCCTTAGAAGCTGGTCCCTAAGCAATTGGCTTTCCCAAGCTCAGAGTGACAGTATTGATTGCAGGCCCTGCTAACTTAGTCCCTGAGCCAACCTTCAAAGGGATCGGGAGAATAGAAATGGCCTCATTTACTATCTAGTTAAGTACCAAGATCAGCCAGAACAATATGCAGAACCTTGATGGCATGCCTGGAACATAGGATTGATCTCTTAGTTTCAATTATTGCCCAAACTGCCTTGGGAACATGGTCTGTGAACACTAGTTGTTCTCCCTAGGGCTTGCCTTTGGAGTTGCTTTAGTTTTCTCAATTTTGTACCTGCCTAGAGAGATTTCTATTTAATATTGGCTCTTTTCCTCTTACCATAGATCCTGTGGATATTGAGGTATCAAATGACTCAAATTATAGTGCCAATAATGTTTGCCACATTAAAAATGAGAATACTGAGAAAATATATGATTGTGTTCTTATGTAGTGTAGCCAATGACCTATCATTGAGGTATCTAAGGTTTTGCTCCTAAACTAATTGGCTCTTACTATCTGGGCTTAATTAGGTCTAGCTTTTTAACTGTGTTACTTTTTTTTTTTTTAAAGAGAGAGAGAGAATTTTAATATTTATTTTTTAGTTTTTTTGGTGGACACAACATCTTTGTTTGTATGTGGTGCTGAGGATCGAACCTGGGCCACAAGCATGCCAGGTGAGCGTGCTACCGCTTGAGCCACATCCCCAGCCCTAACTGTGTTACTTTTAAAAAGTTTTCTTCTTAATCTTTGTGCTAACACTGGACAGCCTCATCCAATCTCTAAGCCTCAACTATTCTGTATTCTGATGATTCACTGAACTATAGTCCTAATCCTAGATAAGACTATTTATAACCTATATAATATATCTTTGGTGGGTTGTGTACTTGGATTATCCCTGGCACTGGAAATGTTGCTGAAACACTGTGAAGGAAGAAGGAGATGGATGTGTTCTTGGTCTGTTCCACTGTTATGCAGCCAGGCTTTGAAGAAAAATTCCATGCTGATAACATCGTTGTCTATAATCTGAAGTTCAATGTCAGTTCCCAGGATAGAACTCTCTGCAGAAGACAGGGAAATAAATAGTGGTTAAAGTGTTAATTTTTAGATTATAAAATCTGAAAATATAAAATTCAAATGTACCTATCTTTTGACCCATTCATTGCATTTCTAGATATCTAACCTAAATATTCTTAGTACACAAAGAGATATATGCGAAGATGTTCAGGGTATCATTGTGGTCATAACAAATAATCAAAACCCCAAACAGGAGGCAATTCCAGTGTCCATCAATAGGGAAAGCTTAAATAAATCATGGTACACTTAAACTATGGAGTATTATGCAGCTGTTAACAATGTAAAACTAAATGTACTGACACGGAAAGCTAGTAAATAAATAAAGTGAATAAATGAAGTTTTTGTATAACAGATATGATTCAATTTGTACAAACATAAAACCATCTGCCTAAGTACATACATATGTATGTACTTGTAAGGTGCACTTTACAAAGATCTAGAAGGCTATCATCAAATTGTTAACAGTAGATAGGGAGGGGAAGTGGGGCAGGGCTCTGAGATATGTTCCCTTTTTACTATTCGTACTTCTACATTTGTTAATTTTATTGTAGTTGTGAATTTCTTGTGTCTAACAATATTTTAGAATATAAAAAGGAGAGAAATTATACAGAAATGTAAGTTAAATAGTTAATAAGGGGGATTTTGACTTTATGCTATTATTTTATAGTGAAAATATAATTATTACTTCTGTCATAAGAACAAATTTTAAAAAATTAAAAAAAGAGAAAAATATGAACCACTGGGCTATGGCAAAAAGGGATTGGCCTGGTGATTTGAACGAGTGATGCTGGGTAGTGGGGTAATGAGGTTTTGTGGTGTACTTCTAGCTTCAGGCAACACTATCTCTGGCATTGGTGTCTGGGTTTGCAGATAAAGAATGTTAGTGAAATCCAAATATAAGGTGATGGAGGAAACAAAGACAGAGGAAATGAGGCAAGAACTGGAAGAAACTGAAGAGGATCCTGACTTCCTTGACTTCATCCTGAGGGACTCTCTGAAATACTTTTATAAAAGGCCTAAGAAAAACCAGTTGCTCTAATGAATTAACTTCTGTGTAAGCTGGAATCCAAGGGAGAAGGCTGGTTTATTTCTAGAACGACATTCCTGAGGATAAGTAGGTAGTGGTGACAGACTCCACAGGGAACAAAGGGACTTTAGTCCAACATGTTGGTTTCAACACAGGAGAGGAGTGGAAAGAGTTAGATGACTTCATGTATTTAATGCCTTATCCTGTGGCTCAAGGCGGGTACCAAATGCATTTTTCTGTGACCAGAGGATTAAAACTGCCCTCTTCCATGGATAATTATGGGGATTCATCAGTTAACTAATTATTTCATTCATTTCATCAGACATAAATGACATTTTTTGCCCTTAGGAATTTATAAAGCAACATTATTATTGACCATTTCTCCCCAAAGTCTCATCTGTACCATTATTATGTTTTAGGTTAGTATAATGATAAATATAAAGACACTGCCAAACATTCCTTGTAAATAAAGAGAAGCATCCTTAAAAAAATAATGTGAATATTATTTTGTCACTGGCAAAATAAAAAGTAATTTAATTTTTCCAAGGTTGTTGCCTGGACTTTGACTTGGGCAACAAGGATGGAAATGACTTAGTGGCTTCTCTTCAGTGAGGTAAAGTAGTTACTAAAGCACACAGGGCATTTAGTTTTCTTTATAGAACTAAAGAAATGGAATTAAGAAAAGGAGCTCTGGAAGTAGAGAGGATAAAATTACTTAGAGTTCAAATGATAAAATTTTGGAGAAGAAAAAATAAGTGTAAAGGGTAGAAGATTAGAAACTCCTACTATGGGTGATATAGTAGGGAAAATACAGTTGTAAGTTATTAAGAATCTGGAAATAAGAAAAATAGGGGTTTCCTCAGATAGTTAAACTATAAAATTGACACAGAATGGTCAGGTCAATGAAAACCAGGTCCTCTAAGAAGGTAGGATGTCTTATTGACCTGAGCAAGACTTGGCATAGCCTTATTGATGGTATTGGCATATCCAGAGGATGAATGTGTCTACTGGAAGGGGAAGGATCTGGTCCGAAATGAGCACAGAGAATTGCTTTTGCTATTCTGGGTCTTTTATTTTTCCAGATGAATTTCATGATTGCTTTATTTCTACAAGAAATGCCTTTGGGATTTTGATTGGCATTGCATTAAACATATAGAGAACTTTTGGTAATATCACCATTTTGATGATGTTAGTTTTGCCTATCCATGAACAGGGTATATTTTTCCATCTTCTAAGATCTTCTTCTATTTCTCTCTTTAGGGTTCTGTAGTTTTCATTGTATAAATCTTTTTTTTTTTTTTTTTGTTGGTCGTTCAAAACTTTACACAGTTCTTAATACATCATCTTTCACAGTTTGATTCAAGTGGGTTATGAACTCCCAACTTTACCCCGTATACAGATTGCTGTTTCACATCAGTTACCCTTCCATTGATTGACATATTGCCTTTCTAGTGTCTGATGTATTCTGCTGTCTGTCCTATTCTCTACTATCCCCCCTCCCCTCCCCTCCCCTCCCCTCCCCTTTTCTCATCCATGTTTAATGTAAATCTTCTTCTCAAGCTCTTCGTCCTTACCCTGTCCTTGTTTACTCCCCTTATATCAAAGGGGTCATTTGGTATTTGTTTTTTAACGATTGACTAGCTTCACTTAGCATAATCTGCTCTAATGCCATCCATTTCCCCATTGTATAAATCTTTCACCTCTTTTGTTAGGTTGATTCCCAAGTATTTTACTTTTTTTCAGGATATTGTGAATGGGGTGGTTGTCCTCATTTTCATTTCAGAAGATTTGTCACTGATGTACAGGAATGCCTTTGATTTATGCGTGTTGATTTTATATCCTGCCACGTTCTGAATTCATTTATTAGCTCTAGTAGTTTCTTTGTAGAACCTTTTGGGTCTGCTAGGTATAGGATCATGTCATCCGTAAATAGTGATAATTTAAGTTTTTCTTTTCCTATCTTTATGCCTTTAATTTCTTTCGTCTAATTGCTCTGAAACAGGCAGTATAGAGATAACAGACTTCAAACTATACTACAGAGCAATAGTAACAAAAACTGCATGGTTCTGGTACCAAAACAAGCGGGTGGACCAATGGTACAGAATAGAGGACACAGAGACCAATCCACAAAATTACAACTATCTTATATTTGACAAAGGTGCTAAAAGCATGCAATGGAGAAAGGAAAGCATCTTCAACAAATGGTGCTGGGAAAACTGGGAATCCATATGCAACAAAATGAATCTGAATCCCTTTCTCTCGCCATGCACAAAAGTTAACTCAAAATGGATCAAGGAGCTTGATATCAAAACAGAGACTCTGCGTCTGATAGAAGAAAAAGTTGGCTCTAATCTACATATTGTGGGGTTGGGCTCCAAATTCCTTAATAGGACACCCATAGCATAAGAGATAAAAACAAGAATCAACAAATGGGACTTACTCAAACTAAAAAGTTTTTTCTTAGCAAGAGAAACAATAAGAGAGGTAAATAGAGAGGCTATATCCTGGGAACAAATTTTTACTCCTCACACTTCAGATAGAGCCCTAATATCCAGAGTATACAAAGAACCCAAAAAGTTAAACAATAAGGAAACAAATAACCCAATCAACAAATGGGCCAAGGACCTGAACAGACACTTCTCAGAGGAGGACATACAATCAATCAACAAGTACAAGAAAAAATTCTCACCATCTCTAGCAGTCAGAGAAATGCAAATTAAACCACCCTAGGGCTGGGGATGTGGCTCAAGCGGTAGCACGCTCGCCTGGCATGCGTGCGGCCTGGGTTCGATCCTCAGCACCACATACCAACAAAGATGTTGTGTCCACCAAAAAAACTAAAAAATAAATATTAAAATTCTCTCTCTCTCTCTCTCCTCTCTCAAAAAAAAACCACCCTAAGATACTATCTCACTCCAGTAAGCATGGCAGCCAGTATGAAGTCAAACAACAAGTGCTGGCGAGGATGTGGGGAAAAGGGTACACTTGTACATTTCTGGTGGGACTGCAAATTGGTGTGGCCAATTTGGAAAGCAGTATGGAGATTCCTGGGAAAGCTGGGAATGGAACCACCATTTGACCCAGCTATTCCCCTTCTTGGACTATTCCCCAAAGACCTTAAAAGAGCATATTATAGGGATACAGCTACATCGATGTTCATAGCAGCACAATTCACAATAGCTAGACTGTGGAACCAACCTAGATGCCCTTCAATAGATGAATGGATAAAAAAAATGTGGCATTTATACACAATGGAGTATTACTCAGCACTAAAAAAATGACAAAATCATGGCATTTTCAAGGAAATGGATGGCATTAGAGCAGATTATGCTAAGTGAAGCTAGCCAATCCCTAAAAAACAAATGCCAAATGTCTTCTTTGATATAAGGAGAGCAACTAAGAACAGAGCAGGGAGGAAGAGCATGAGAAGAAGATTACCATTAAACAGGGACGAGAGGTGGGAAGGAAAGGGAGAGAGAAGGGAAATTGCATGCAAATGGAAGGAGACCCTCATTGTTATACAAAATTACATATAAGAGGAAGTGAGGGGAAAGGAAAAAAACAGAGAAATGAATTACAGTAGATGGGGTAGAGAGAGAAGATGGGAGGGGAGGGGTGGGGAGGGGGGATAGTAGAGGATAGGAAGGGCAGCAGAATACAACATACACTAGTATGGCAGTATGTAAAAACGTGGATGTGTAACCGATGTGATTCTGCAATCTGTATACGGGGTAAAAATGGGAGTTCATAATCCACTTGAATCAAATGTATGAAATATGATATGTCAAGAGCTTTATAATGTTTTGGACAACTAATATTAATAAAAAAATAAAGAAATGAGCACAGAGAAGAGGAGCAGCAGGCCCCTTCAAGTGTGGCTCAGAGAAGATCTACAGGCTCAGGAATATGTCCCAATGGCAGGGATTGTGTGTTACCTCTGATCTTCTTGGTGATTAT